AGAACATTTACATCTACATGTTTAAACCAGAATGATTGACATTTAAATACAACTTTAATGGGATGTTCTGGTCACCTCAGCTCAGTGGAACCACAGCAGAAGGTTCCACTGGACTGGACCCAGAACCAGCTGGTTTAAAGGGTGTCAGGTTCTGATTCTAACCGCTTCTGGAAGGCCTTCAAAGCTGGTAGGACAGGAGGGATGAAGAGCTCAGTCACTTCCCACCGGTCCCTCTGATCCACACCCTGGACCCCCCCACCCCACAGTCTGCTTGTTTGTTTCTACTTTTGCTTTCTGTCTCTGTTCCCAGAAAGCTGAACAGATCCAGTCTTGTTGGAACCGTGACTCATCCCCCCCCCAGCTTCCCACAGCTGTATCCAAAACAAGCCTCACATCCGTTTCCCACATCACGCCATAATCCACCAATCAGGGCCCGCTTCCCAGGGAGGACAGGCAACCGCTTCACAGCTCCAGAACATCTGAGGTGGCGTCAAAGCAAAAGCCATGAAGGCTGTGCTTCTGAGGAGGAAGAGGAGGAGGAGGAAAAAAGAGGAAGAGGGGATGAAGATGGAGCAGTTGGCTGCTCCCCCCTGGGAAAGGAAAGAGGGAGATTAGTGCTTGATGAGTCATGCAGAGGGAGGTTCAGGGGTCAAAAGTCAAAAAGAAAAACAACAACAACCTGCCATCATCATCTTCATCAGTGTGCAGCTTCAGCATTCCAGTCTGGCAAATATTAACCTTAACCCCTGTCCTGCCCTCCACTGCTCCTTCACACCAAACTCCATTCAGAAAACCGCGTATTTAAGCTTCACTTTAATCATCCTCCCATGAGATCATTTAAACCTTAAACTAAATAAACACGGTTTTATAACAACAGTTCCAAAACAGAAAAACCGAGTAACGCCAAGCCGAACCTATCAGAAGCGAACCTTTATCTGAAAAATTATGTCGGTTTGGTTTGGTGCAAATCCATTATTACCAAAAACTGTTGAATAAGCGAAAATGTACTGTTTTCCTAAAGGAGTTCTGTAAAGGCACAGATAACGGAAACACTTCCGGACTTACTGGACCAAGTTAAGAGTTTCGGCGGAGTCCAGGATCACGAACACGGTGTGAGGAACCGAGGCCTCCTGGTGGTCCGGTTCGGTTCGGCCCCGGTTCTGATCTACGGTCCGGATCTGATCCGAGCCGACGTCTGACATTTCTCCCGAGGAGCGATGAGCGGAGAGGGGAGATGTTCAGACGGAGAACCGGCGATCAAATCTGGAGCTCCGGAGGAGGGGGGGCGGGGGGATGAGCAGCTCCGATGAAGCCCTGCTGGGAGCTGCTGAGGCTGCCGAACCGAACCGAGCCGAACCGAACCGAACAGGCAGAGCTCTGTGCGCAGAGATAAAACACACAGATCAAACAGGCACATTCCAGAGCTGCTGATCCAGATCCAGACATTCCTGACTGGTCCAGGATTTCTTCCTCATGTCTTCCTTTGGCCTCAGCCCCCCTTCCGATAAATATTAAAAACAGAAGAAGACATTTAACATTTAGATTATAATAAATAAAAGGTCAAAAAACTAAATCAGGACACATCTGAAAATCTGCTCCTGTTCCTTTAAATCTGATTTTTATATTTTACTTTCATATTTTTTTATTTTTATTAGGAAAACTTAATACAATGTTTACCTTTAGGAACTTCTCTGCCTATAATGACTGATTCAGTTTTCTTTCTGTTCATAAAATCAAACTTTTATGTCTTTGAATGATTGAAAAAACAGTTTGTTTCCACATTAAACCAATAATCTGTTCTACTTTTAGTATTTCTATGTCTGTGGGGCGGGGCTTGATGTTCTGATGGAGCTCTGCTGAACCAATGACATGTAGTTTTTTTCTGCCACCAGCCAATAGGATAGAGCGGAACTTTTGTCTCAGCCAATCGGCTGCGCGGCTGAGGCTTGATGTCCGCCATGTTGTTAGTTTTGTATGAGGGGGAATTCCCTGCCAACGTCATCCTCCTCAGCACTGATTGGTTGGGATGAGACTTGCTGCGCTTCGACCAATCAGAGGCCCGATACAGGCTTTTTTTTTCTTTTTTTTTTTAAAGCTTCATTAGAGAATTTTTTGTAATACAAGAAATAAGTACAATTTCCAAAGAAAAATCGCCTGGAATTTGATCAAAAATAGTAATAATAAATAAAATATAACTGATTAAACATAAAAATAGTAAAATTATTGAATAAAGCTAGACATAAGAGCATATAAATGGATTACATAAATATTTTGAATTTAGAGCATAGAGATAAAGTTTTAAAGTTTTTTTTTTCTGTTATTGGAAGAGGATAGTGTGGAAAAATACATTGTGGCTTCCTTTAAAAAAGACATACATGAGGGTTTGGTCAGGATAATTTTACATTTATGGATATAAAACTTGGCCAACGGAAGCAAACTATTACATAAAAAGAAAAAATATATGAGGTAATCTAAACGGAGAAGCGGATCGTTGTGACTGAGCCAATGAGAAGCTGATGGGGTCTGCATTCAGGACCTCTGGAGGTCTCTCACATCCAAACAGATAAACAGCCTGTGGGAAACATCTGGATCATCTGCTGAGGTGAAGTTCCTGCTGAGAACAAACCGCTTATATAAAGCTGGTGGAGACATCATTTGTTTACTGTCTGGCTCAATCCTCTGCTGCCAAAATACAAACAATCATCTTCCAGCTTTCTGCTGCTCATGCAGCACCTCTGCACCCCTGCATGTTTATAGGTCTGTGTGTCAATGACAGGCAAAACAAACCAAATACAGATAAATCCCAGTCTGGTGGATCCTTCTACCACTAAGTGTTTGTATAGTTTCCTAGCTCATATTTAGTTCCAGATTTAGTTTATTCCATTTAGATGTATTTTTTCTAATAGGTTTAAACTTCAGTTAATCTGTCTGACTGGTTTAACTCACACTTGTTATTTTCTCTGAGGTTCAAATGCAGATCAGCCTTAGATGGAAGCTAGGAACATACCACTGTCCCAAAGAACTGAGGGGGGGATTTTGTTTATATTGACCTTAGTTATTTTGTCACCTTAAGTTAAAGAGTTGTTTTATTTGTTTAATATGTTTTAGTTTTGTTTGGGAGGGCCAGTAACACATTGGTGGAAAATGAGGGAATTAGGCAACTTTTTCCATCCCTGACGGGTCCTTGGTGATGCTGTTTTATTAATGGAAAAGCAAAAGATGATTAAAAAAAGACATGGCTATGGATTGATGCTAACATCATGATTCATGCAGCTATTATTTCATCCAAATGAAAAATGGAGAACAGATAAGCAGATCATGGCTTGTCTACAGTGAAAAGAAGGACTGGG